TGCAAAACAGTCTTATTTCATGACATAAACAAATCTTGACTAAACAGTTCTTTAGTCCAACAGTTTCATAAATAAACAATATAGTTCGCATAACTTCAAGCTTTTCCCCCAGTTTAAATAAACAAAAAAATTAAAAGTGGGGCTGTGAATACTCACTTGTTTGCTGTTTTGAATATCCAAGAGCTTGACAATGCTTGAAGCTCTAATCGTCCACCCTAGTCTTTCCTAAACAGTCCAACATCCAGAAATGAGATCACCTATAGGTTCTTGATAAAGATAAAGTCAAATTATATCTTATGTAATGCCAATGAGTTTTTATGAATTAAAGTTGATACTTATATTATTCGCTCTAAAAATAGTCCAGAAATTATACATTTTAAAAATCAAAGACCTTTGCACATAAAGCTGCCATTTGGACATAATGTAAATTATGTTCTGTAATTTTTGGTCTCACAAACCACTGTTAAAAAGAATCTTCCATAACTCTTTTTGAGTCCAAATTTTTATATCAACAATAATAATGAGTTAAACAGATGTCTCCCGAATATCAAGAATTTTGGATGGGTTTAAGGCACTCATTATTACCCTACAACTTTAAGTGACACAGTCCCCAAGACAGATTGCACACTCTTCGAGTGACGGCTATTTGGGGGGTATAAACTCATCATTTTTCAGTGATTTTAACTTTATTTTTAAGCCAACACATAAGGCTACCTTCCAGAAAAAGAATCATCCATTTTCATTGAGTTTTGAAGAAGATATAACCGTTTTAAAATGCATGCAAGATTCTGTCAACAATGCTCTTTTTGCATCATAATCTTGTATCAAGAACTTGAAGGCTCAAAACATAATATTTTTTAGGTCAAAATTCTAAATTTTTGTAAAATTATTTGGTCATTCAAATAAAACTTTTTATAATTTAATTTGGACTTTTATAATATCAACTTTATTTTGTTTGAAGAATTTTAATGAATTTGACGTTACATAAGTTAACTTTATCAGTTACCCATCGAAATAGGATTTTCTGAACTATATTTTGGGAACTAAGCCAGATGAATTTCTAATCAACATGACTAGATCCTAATATAATTCTTAATTTTAAAAATCTTATAAGGTGCTAACTTGACGCCCAAAAATGGCGGATGTCACACAGAGGGTTGTGAATCTGAAGAGACCTAACCAAGAGCTTGAAAACATAGAAGGCTATCCGTTATTCCTAATCCTTAAAGATCCAGAATTGGCGTGGTCTATGAAACTGCAGAGAAGTTAAAGATTTTTGAGGTTCAGTGCGTTGAATAAGTATTCTGACGGTACTATCAAGATTGTGAGAAAAAGGCTTGAAGGTAAAAGGGCTTTCAATGACAAAGCTGCAGGACGCGACAGGTTAAGTCCAAGAGAAAGGTACTTATTAATAAGTTCTCTTGAGCTACTTGATGAAGAATTGCAATATCGGAATGCGCTAAGGAGGTGTGAGACAAACTTGGGTTTTAGAAGATCAAAATTTACAATGTCTCGTGCTTGAATCCAAGGGGGAAGACTGTTGGGTTTAAGTTGTGCTTAATTGTTGTATTCAAGTGTTTCTCTTTTGTAAAGTTTGTCTTTAATGCTTTGTAGGTATAAATAGTCTTTCCTTTGTAATTTGTAGTAAGTTGAACTCATTTGTAATCTTCTAAGAATTTGAATACAATTATATTAGGTGAAAAATCTCTCTAACATTCAATATTTTGTTCTTGATTGTTGATTATCTGATTGAAGATTTGGGATTTACACAATATTTGAGGATGTGTTCAGGCCGAACAAGCACGTATTTTATAGAAGAGGACTGAACAACAACAATATCAACAAGCTCCTCATGCATCTATGTTGTTAGGAGAACATTTTAATGATCACTGAGGATCTGGATATGGATCCGTTTTACCCGATTATTGAATTTGTATCAACGTTATTCAAAGACCGTTTTTCGCTTATGTATGCTTTTATTACAGTTATCATTATGTACTTTTATCTTTACCATTTGTAATGCTTTTATGTTAAAATATGTGTTAATGGCATATTTTTAGTTAAATATGTTATGTTGTAAGTTGTTGAACTTTAGTTTTTAAAATTAATTGGACAAATTTAAATTGAATTTAAAACTTAAAGTTAAATATAATTCTAGTTTATTGATATTGGTATTAGACAACAAATAAAATAAAAATACAATAATCTCAAAAAATTGAAGGACTATTTTGTAATTATCAAAAGTGTAGAAAAAACAAAGATTATGAATAGTGTTCCTCTATATGTGGAGAGTTACTATTCATTTCTATATTATAGAGAATAAAATAAAGGGTTCATAGGAATGTTTTAGAGAGTGAAATAGAGGGTTCTTTGGAGATGGTCTTAGGAATAATCCTCTATACATAATTCCTTTGAGGGACCTCATCCAAATTTTGAACAAATAATGACCAATAGTGTAACTCATAACTGAATTATTGTATATTTGTATGATTGATCTTACACAAATGACCAAGACATCAACGTAAACACCAGCTAAAATGAGAATCGACTCTAAAAAGTGAATTGGTTTGGTGAGATCGACTCCTTTGGTAAATTAGGAACTTCTCAACTTTTTATAAATTAAATTAAATAGCCCTTTTTTCCTTAGACATCTTTTAAATCCAAATAATGTTACTTAAATGTCTTAAAGAAACAAGTTCAAATACCATCTACCTAGCAAGCAGTTGTAGGCAGATTTATTTCATGTGAACAAAATTAAGAGAATGCGATTAAGATGGGATGCATAGTGTTTGTTATATTAAAGGAGTCTTCAAGCATTGTAGCGTTGGTTCATATAACAAAACCATCACAATACCTTAAAATGTATGCAATAATATTAGTGTCGCACAACACATCTGCCGTCAAAAACTAGCTACTTTTCCTCTGTGGAAAGCCGTCAACAGCCCGTACATTTGAGTTAACAAGAGATCATGGTCATAACTTGTCAAATCGATCATCACTCAATGTAGACGTCCTTCTTTCTTCACTAGTTCAAGTTGAAGGTGGGATTTGCCATTTGTGTGGGACTGGACCAACGTCATATATGACCTCTCTATGGCATGACCACACCAGTCTTATAGCTTCAGGAGTCCCTATTCCGGCACCTCTTGGATCTCCAGCCGGCCCAAACCTGCACACACAGCGCTCTACCTGTTATCCCTAAAATTTAACAAAATGTTCCCAATTTTATACAAATTATAGGAATTTCCAAATTTTGTACAAAATTGCCCACTTTTGCAAACTATAATACTCCCTCCGTCCCAAATAATTGTTCCTGTTTCTGTTTCTATTTTAGTTTGTCTAAAAATAAGTGTCTACCTTCCAATTCTAACCTTAATTCTGAGATGGAGAAATTCATTACTCCCTCTATCATTAAGGGTACAATTGTCTTTTAGTTAATTAAAAGGTGTAATAATTATACATTTTTTAAAACCGTGCGCCTTTTCATTTTGGGCATTTACTTTGAGATAGAGGGAGAATGTTTTTTTTCCATTTTGGACATTTATTTTGAGAAAGAGGGAGAATGTTTTTTTCCATTTACAAGAACGATGGTTTGTTTGCAACAAAAAACTAGAAACAATGGTCCTGAAAGTTGACCATAGAAAATTGAAATAAGATTCAAATATAATTGAATTTGTTCATTCTACGCACCAGTGGTTCTGCGGTGCACCAGTGGTTCGTGCTCTAAGTCCTGCATATGTGGTTCCATTAACTGTTTTCCCCACAACCTCCTGGAAAAGAGTTGCAGCCATCAGTGTAGTTGATACTAATTAAAAGCCAAGTTAGAGCATAAACAACTTGGGTCAGGTTATTAGTTATATAGGACCATGGTTGGGTGGTTTATGGAGTCCTACACGCGTCCCACTGGACAAGATCTGAAAAGATTATACCCACCCAACAGTTTTTTAGTTATTTCCGTTAAGAGGATCAAGCTGTTAATTGTAACACACAATCTATAAGACCATATGCATACATACGACATGGAAAATGTAGATGGTCAGGAGCTTTAATGTAGTAAAGATGAAATCTAGAAGTTTAAAATATATTGAGTGCTGAATAAGCAAAAATTCTAGATTCTGGGGAAGAAGATGAACGACCATCTTCTATGTTCCAAGTTTTCACTATGCTTGATGAGCAACAAGATGAAAAATATCATGGTTATACCACGAAAAGATGGTGGGGAAGAGTGCAGAGTAAAAAACAATTTCATATCTCAGAATCATTATATATGATAAACCAAGAAAATTGATCATACCTGGATAAATAATGGATCATTCGAGACCACAGCCGCTGTTAAGTGTGCATGCATCCTTTCAAGGGCATCTAATACCAGTGGCAGTTGATTGTCTTTGTATTCCGTAATAATCTGAGAAAAGAGAACATAATCATACAGGGCATAAATAAAGGAAGAGGAAATCTTGACAAGGTTCCATTTAATTGCTTAGAATCCAATACCCCACCAGCTTACCTGAAATGGTCCAAATATTTCTTTTGTAACAAGTTCGTAATTTTCACCCTTTAGTATTTCTTCGATTGGAACAAATACAGCTGTCGGTTTTATAGCACCATAAACTTTAGGAATAGAATGATTTTCCAACTCTTCACCACCAAAGAGTAGCTTGGATCCAGGAATCTGAAGCAATTTCTTCATGTGGCCTAGCATAGCTTCCGTTGTGAACTGCAGAGACCAATCAAATAAATGAGAAAGACAGTAGTAGACAACACAAGCCTGGAAATAACATTTGCAGAGACCAATCAAGTAAATGAGAAAGACAGTAGTAGACAACACAAGCCTGGAAATAACATTTTTAGTAGTTTTAACTTTTAATAATATATGGATAGATAACTTTGCTTTGTGCCACTAGGTAATTGTGGTCTAACTTATATCCTCAAGGACCTCCTGCCTCATTTACAACTTCTAAGATTAAATTATGGCAAATTAATAATGTATAATTTGCAGATGAACACTAGTCCTTTAGGACCCTAATTTAGAGATCTCCAAGAAATATGAATGAACCAAGATGAATGTTTCAAAAGAAACTCAATTTCCCCAAGTTGACTAAAGAAAGACAGACTTGCTTTTTTGGTAACAAAGTAGGCATACTTACCGTAAGAACTGGGCCAATAGTCAAGTCTTCAAGCTTCCTCCTTGCAGCAAGGTCACTCAATTGACGCATGAGTGATGTTTTGCTCCAGTTCTACATATAATGATAAAAGTTAAGAGCTCTACCTGAAAACTAATTTAAAAAGTTCCTTGTCCCAAAAAGGATCCACTTTGCAAATATGTCCAACGGAAGAGTCTTATTTTGAACTCGAGACACTAAATATAAATTTTATGTTCATAAATGACCATTTCTTTTCAAAGGATCAGATAAAGAGACATCTAGGCAATCTCTATACACTTGTGTAAGAGTGTCCACAACTGTCTTAAATTCCTTCTAGATTTCAAAGTGGATATTTCTTTTTTGGGACAGAAGTTAAGGACTTGTATGAAAGGATACAGTAAAGATAACATGTGGCAACTAACTTCGTGCATGAAAAGCATCGACTGTGCTGAGCATTTCTGACCACTACATGCATATGCATCTTGATCGCAAACCCATGAAACATAATCCACCTGCCAATCGAAGAAAATAATGTGGTTAAGGACCAGAAATACATGCAGGAAAGGTCCACATTTAATGTTGTGTACCTCATGAACATCAGGGCCAAGAATTTTCCAGTCAAATCCTGCATCTTCCAATTTCACTTTACCATTTAGGTCATCAGCCAACTTGTTTGCTACCCTAGAGCTTCCGGTGAAGAGAGTCATCCGTGGTTTTGCCTGAACACGGCATCAGAAAGTTATAGGAAATGACAAAGCTAACAGATATTATTAGATGCTTTATTAAAATAAAACTTCCCTAACAGTAAGAACCTAGACTTAATGTTACGTGCAAAAGCAGAAAAAAGGTTTGAGGGTCATTGACTAATCTCTGGTCAAAGACAAACTTCCTAATTGCCCAAATAAATATCAAAATAAAAATTGAATAAACTCTGGATGATTGATTTTATGATAAGAAAAATTTGGCAAGTGGTCAGCTAGAAACTTGAAAGAAGAAATCAGTCAGTTCATATTTCATAACAAACATCCAGAGTAAGCTCCTTCAAACAATGAACTCTAATAGTTGTCCTCTAGTTTAATGTGTCAAACTTGTATTTGATAGAAACATATAATTATTACTAATCGATATAGTGTCAACGTTTTTAACAGCAATCTTCTTCTACATGTAGTATTTCTTGTATTGTTTTGATGTAGTTACAAAGGTCTTGAAAGAATTAGACAATATTCATATTGATTTAAAAAGTGGCCCATTTGAATTTTTAGAGACAAAATATGACAATTAACAGAAAATCTAGAAAAGGTATATCTCTCGTAGACACCTTTGTATTAAGACATAAGAAGAATGGTGTTATCAACCATCTACACTTGGAACTATTTGTGTAACTCATTCTTCATGTAGCATTTTTTTCTATACAATTGCTTCAAAGAGAAAATACTCTGAAGAACAGCATGCAAAAGAATAACAATGAAGATGTACGGAAGCAGCTGCAAGTAGAAAATGTGCATCTTATAAAACTGAAAGTGCACCAGGAAAACCAACCTCTAGCAGTATCTTGTTCATTGTCTTTCCATCAGAATTGATGAAATCAACATCCTCCACAGGCATCCCACAATCATGGAGCAACCGAAGCATTTGTTCCATAACAATTGATACCTAGAAAATACTAGAGTGTATAAGCGAAAATATGCATAACTATTTTCATGACACATATAACTCATGCATAAAAGGGTATTAGATCAAGCTCAGAAAGGCTTTTTTCGCTTAGTTACACTTGTATACAAACTAAGGCGTCATTTGATGACAGCTTGTCTTTTGTGCTGTGATATTGGGTTTGAAACCTCAACCTCATAAGAAAAAGAAACTGATGAACCTAATTTGAAAAGCATGGATTCAGATGAAAATACCGAATACAACCCTATATTTTTGGAAAGTAAATCAAACTCTGGGACAGAAAAGATCAATAACAAGACACAATGCACAAAGGACCATCAAATGTATATATATATATATATATATATATATCTGTGTGTGTACTTCTGTAAGAAATCATACTGACAAAAAGTTTCATTGGTGCATTTGTAAAATAGAGTTCACACTTCATACATGACCAAGGAGCTGTTAATTTGTTCATCAAATAAGATGTGGTTCCTAAAGATAAACAACACATATCATTGGACTTAGTAGACTAAAATAATTGAGGAATTTTGCATTTTATAATTTTCACAAATTCAGGGGACATTATCATTAAAATAATAAGACAGTTGATATATATGAGTATACGACAAAAGACTGCTAAAAACTACACTTTTATATTGTCAAGCATAAGTTAATTCAATTTACATGTCTCAGAACCCACCTTGCTATCAACCTTAAGGATAGGCTTGTTACCCATATAAAGTGCTCCCATCAACTGAAGTAGAGGAATTTCTAGAGGGAAATTGAAAGGCGTAATCACTGCAACCTGCAACAACAAAAAAATTTAATTTCCAGAATTGGAAAGAAGAGATGATTCCATGAATCAATGTACTTTAAGGTGATTAGAACCCATGTGACCCCGTGACCACATAGAAATTAAAGTAAAGATCCTATACTAAATTAAAAAAAAATGAAATATCGAATAAAAAAGTTATATGATTTAGGCAATTACTAACTAAATTCAAATATGAAGCAGCACATACCAATGTTGTTGAAGAGGTAAGAAGAAGCCAAAGAACTAAAATCACACACACTAGAAGTTGTTTACTTTTTATAATATTCATCCCTAAAGAGGCCCCATGCACGATGATTTCACATCTTCAATGCCCATCTATTGAGGTTAAACTAAATGAATAAACAAATATGTGAAGGATATCTTACAGGTCCATAAGGCCAGCGGAAACCATGACTTTGCTGCCCAAGATGATTCCCAGGAACTCCAAAAGACCTTGCTAGGAAACGTACCTGTCGAACATACAGAATGTATAATTTGTAATCAATGAGGATAACTGCAGGTCACTAACAAAGATGTTCTTACAATGCTCAAGTCTACTCATTTGAGATGCAAATGGAAAAGAAACAGAAAAACTGAACAAAACAGAAACAGTAATATTGGATACAAAACATCATACACATGCAGCCTAGTACTGTTAAGGTAAGTTGACAATCCATATAACCCATCTAATTTATCATACAATAGATGATCAAACACTAACAGCAATGGGTAATTTTACACTGGCCCTTACTTTTGGAATAAGTTGATCTAGAAGAATTTCAAACTCCAGCAAATAATCGTGTACCTGATCACCAGAGAAGTTCTCTAGAAACTTCCCTGTAACATAAACTTCACCAAGAGCCTGCTGGTAACTCTTAGGCGCAACCCTCTGTATTAACTTTGCGAAGAAATCAGAAACCTGAAAGGAAAGAAACATGCAAAATCACTACAAAACTAATTACCTGTTTTCTAAGTCACGTGACCAAAAATCGGATGGGTAAATACTGATGCATTTTGTTTTCTCAATATAATTGTAATACCTCAGGCAGGGAAAGCATATGGCCTGCTTTTGAAGATATGTCTCCATACAAAAGGTATCTGTATACAACGGTTTATGTTAGCACCTATATAGTTGGCAATATAGAGTACAAATTAAAGTTGACAATTAGAGGACCGCATACAAACCTCTCTGGGGATTTAAATGGGTTGTGCATGCCATGTTTGGGGCACTTAGACAAGCTCTCTATAAAAGGCTGCATAAGATGTCAAAAGATATCTGTTAAAACAAGTGGAAGAACATACAAAGAAAAGCATGCTTTGTAATACCAATACAGGTTTAACAGAAGAGCAGTGTATCTCATAGGCCAACATTGCAACTAGGTTGATGTATGATACATTCAAGAGAAATACCTTGATTCCGCTTTCATCTACTTCTGAAACTTTGATAAATGATTCTCCATTTAAGGGATCGACGATTGTATTCCAATTGGCAGATTTAAACCAACTTCCCTGGACTGGAGAAAAATATTGAACCATGTAAACCTTTTTTGATAATTCAATACGGGCAGAAGCAAAGCATCGGTCATATTACTGCACCAAAATGAGATTTATTTCCTAAAACACATTAGCTTCGCTAGTTTGATGTTTAGCCTTGTAGGCAACAATCATTCAACTGATCTGATTAATTATCAGAAGTGTGTGGCGCCACACGACTGATAATAAAAAAGAACACAGTTAAAAAAGATTAGTAATACTCAGAGAAATAGATTAACAGCATCATGCTATGCAACAGATCTAGTCTAAATAACACCACAAATGCTTCAGTACAATTCACAAGCTAATTTAATTATAAACAATAACCTCTATTGTTAAAGCGGTACTCCAGTCATTTCATGTCATATCAAACACCCTTTAACTAAACTAATGTAATTTATTTCTGCAGATACGAGATTTACTACTCAGATTCATGTGTTTACCCAAGTTCTGTACTTCAGCAGGCTGAGACCCAGAAATCTCTTCAGCTTTCACGGTTGCAAATTGAAGTGAGTGAATAAGTCTGCATAACAATAACTAGGAATGAACATCCTTGACACAAAAAGAGAAAACACGATCAAATCAACAGAGATGATTAACATAATTTACACTACTCTTTAAACTACCATACGTTGTTCCATATGGTATGAATTATGAAGGCAAGCACACCAGTGCCAGAAAGTAACCACCTTTTCTTAATGTGAACAATTGTATACACAATCCTTCAGCCAAAAAGCTTTAATAGTATCAAAAAGCTATTCTCAATAAATAATAACAACAATAAACAATATCGGATGATAAAATCACACTAGATGTACTTAAAGGGTTTTAAATAGCAAAGAGAAGGGGGCAGATGAAACCCACAACTCATCCATTCAACGTTTTACCTTTAACGCAAATCACCCTGCCACGTGTATCCAGAACTACAGTACCCAATTTAAGCCCTAATTTGCCAATCATACACATCAACATGATGATCGAACTACAACTGAAAATGCCGTCCTCGAAAAAGATACAGATTCAATCAACGAATCACGTTGTTAAAAACGAATCAGAAGATGATCAAACTATCAAAAATCACAACATCCATAAACAAAGACGACCAACAAACAATGTAAGCATTCAACGAAACATACCTCGAGAATCCAAATGAAGCAAGATAGTTTGAAGCTGGTTTACGAGCAACATTTGCCTTGATTCGGAGTAGCGACATGTTTTTCATGGATGTGCTTGTGGAAACTCGGAAGTCTCTGCTCGAAAAACTCGAGTAGCGGAGGGTTTTAGTAGGTGCATGATTAATGGTGGTGATGCGTAACAGCTTACCAATTCTGAAAATCGTGGCGGATTCTAGTCACGCTGACATGTCATGTTTGGACAAGATCCTTTTTTCTGCTACATCCTTCCACTGATTGGTTACCACGTCTCTAAATATGTAAATTATTTATTTCCGTTTTGATTATTGTAATAAAGAGTTGCAAAGTTCCACGGCAATTATCGGTAATCACAAAAAGGATTATTTTAAAAAAGATATTCTTTTAATACTTAAATTTAAATTTATATACATAAACAGAAGTGATCAAATTAAAATCACTTGTATTTGTGTAAACTATTTTTATCCGTTGATTTTATTGTTTAATTTAATGATTTTGTTTCATAAAATTATTTAATATTATGAAATTATTTCATATAATACTTTTCTAGCCGAAGTTGTTTCATATAATACTTGTAAAATTTTAATGAAAATATTTCATGTATTTCTTTAAAATTAATATAATGAAGATAATAATATTCATGATTAACACCCTCTACGATAAAAAAAATTAATCAACCTTTTATAATTACAAAAAAATGAAAATTTATGATTGGTTGAATTAGGCATGGGAATTGGCTCCGACCCGTCGGGGAACCCGGTCCACCCGTCCCGGTCGGGGACGGGGATTCCCCGTTAAACCGGGTCTCGAGGACGGGGACGAGGATCTCCGTTTGGCTCAAACCGGGGATGGGGACGGGGACGAGGACGGGTATCACACTCCCCTCCCCGCCCCGTACCCGTATATATATTAATTAATAAATTATATTATATATTATTTGTTTATATTAAATCGGTAAATGGTAATTTATATTTCAATATATTTTGGATATTACTATATGTGGTTTTGGATATTACTCAATATGTTTTGGTACATGTGACGTTAGCTTTTTTAGATTAAAGTTTAAAAAAAAAATTGTTTTCGATTTATTAATTATTGTACGATGATGTATATTTTTTGTATTAAATTAAATTTCTTTTGATTTTAGGTTTATTGGAAAAATGTGAGATTTAAATATGTGTAGCGTCTTATTTAAATTTTTTTACACAAACAAGAAAAAAAATCTTTGTTTCGCCGTTGGGGATCCCCGTTCCTTGTTGGGGACGGGGATGTGATCAAATTCCCCGGTGGGAATGGGGACCGGGACAAAGATCGGGGATCGGGGATTGGGATCCCCGCCCCATTACCATCCCTAGGTTGAATGAGCTTTGTACGGTTTGTACAAATAACATGGTTTGCAAAGTAAATATCATTTCTCTCTCTCTCTATATATATATATATATATACACACACACACACATAGCCAAAGATTATTTTGAGAAGTGGTAAATATCTGAAAAATAAATAAATGATTCTAGCCCTTTATACGGTCAAGATCAGATTTGACTGGTCAATAATTGCGGCTTTGACGAGTCAAAATTTGCAACTATAGAAAAATAGAGATAGTTTGGTGACTTTTACAAATATTCGGCAAACATGATCATATATGAACCTATGTGATTCACATATTAACTACTAATTCATATATGAACTTGTGTAATTAACATATAAATTATTTTAATTTATTCACATATGAACTAACTAACTGATTCATATATGAATCATTCTTCTTTACATATGAACTAATTAACTTATTTATATATGAACCTGTGTGATTCATATATGAATCGTTTAAATAGTTCGCATGTTAATTAATTAACAGGTTCACATATGAATGTATAGTTCGTACGTGAATCATATGGGTTTACATATGAACCCGTTTGTCGCCTATTTGTAAAAGTTACGAAACTACTTCTCTATTTTTTGCATACCCATGCTAGTAATTATCCGATAATTCACAATCAAAACCGCAAATATTGACTAACTAAATGGTTATGATCACTTCTTTAATATATATAGGGGAGCGATCAAATRCAAACCACTCAATTTGTACAAACCGTGCAAACCGCATTCAACCAATCATAATTTTTCATTTTGTTCATTTTTTTGTAATTATGAGAGGTTGATTAATCATTTTTATTGTGGATGGTGTTAATCATAGAT